CATTATGGATCGTTTGTTTATCATAGAGAGGCTGCGAGTAAAGAACACAACTCCTGGGGATGATCCCTCGCACGAGACCTTAACCATCGGCAGCGGCTGCCCGGTGCACTTTGTGGTTAATAGTTGCGAGGGAGTCATTTTACGACGGAACGTTGGTCGCAAGGGTTGAATAATCCTCGAGAATTGACACGTATGTTAATAGATGAGATCCAAATTGAACCGAGACCCTTTGAAAGTGGTACAAATATTCACGGATAAGGGAATACAGAAAGACCGTGATTTCTCCACCCGAGCGAAAGGGTTTTGGCATGGAGGCGATGTTTGCACGCACCCGTACGTAGCCAACCGTGCTAATCGGCGGTGCCGCAATTCGTGTATCAATCCTCGTGTGTTCAAAGGAAACGCGGACAACAGGAGCACAGGGAGAGAGAGAGAGAGAAGAGTGAAATACAATTGGCAGATATTAGGTTTTATAAAAAATACAAAGTAAAGGAGGGACCGATGCTGGGAAAGCGGGGAGTGAAACACGGATTCAGTAGAACGGACGAGATTGCGATCGTTTTAGCGAAGTTTCCTTCAAGTGAACTCTCTCTTCTACACAGGAGGAGGTGGTGGTGGTGGTGGGGGAGGTCATTTTTCCCAGAGTAATGTTTATGAACAAAACTGTCAGGCACATTTTATTTTAATTCTCGGAGCAGGAATGTAGTCGAATTAAGCGTGGAACCAAATTTAATGCGACGATTTTTTTCGTCTCCTCTTAATGCTTGTCATTGTTAATGGCCATGTTCACTCAACAACAACCCCGAGGGTTTAATGACCAGCGGCTGACACCCGGATAACGAACCCAGATCCTCGGCAGTGTCAGCTCGGCACTCTGACTTATCTGAGCCACTCGCGGTCACCTCACCGCGTGCCGAACTTAAGGCGATATCCACCCGGAACGTCGGGCACGGATAGCGTGCCATCAATTAGTTTTTTTTTTTTTCTCACCAGTCACAAAGGTCGTCAATAAAAGCCTCGTGACAACCTACATTGTCCAATGTGCTGGCCAGGAGCAGCGCCAAAGCCAGCAGATGGATGAGCGCCACTAATATCAACAGCTTCTTCATGTTGCCTGCAGCCTCGTTGGCCTGTGCTCTGCGGGACACGGCAACGACGCACAATCAATCAATCAAACTTCATTTCGAGAGCACTTCGCGCAAAAAATGCAATGCGTTAGTGCTTTACAGGCATGGACAATAAAAGTGAAATTGTAGGCAAAATAAAATCAAGTAACAAATTTGTAGCAAAGACAATAAAACGAACACATTCAGAAAATCATAATTAAAAGCAAGATAAAAAAAGTACGTTTTAAGATTTTTTTTGAAAGTGCTTAATGATTCTGAAGCCCTCGGATCCCCTGGCAGGCTGTTCCACAGGTGAGGACCGTAAACACTAACAGCCGCTTCTCCCTGGGTTTAGTCCTGGGCTTTGGGACGACTAAAAGACCAGTACCAGAGGATCTGAAGGGATCGGGTTAGTTCATATCTTATAAAGGTGCCAGACCATTCAACGAGCTAAAAACCAATAGAATACTTTTGTAATAAATTATTTGACTGACTGGCAGCCAGTGCAAGGATCGTAAAATGGGTGTTATGCGGGTGCTCTTTCTGGTTTTCGTCAGAACACGTGCCGCTGCATTCTGAATTAGTTGCAGTTTACTTATTAATTTCTTCGGTTAAGACCAGAAAGAAGAGCAGAACTTGTAACGAGAATCAGTCATGCGCAACCTCAATCAATGCCTTTGTTCAGATGTGTAAGTGTCATAGCTACATTGCATTTATTTCTCAGAACTACAGTCCATGAAATAACCCATTGAGACACGTAGGATATTTTTGCTGATCGGTCAAGGCCCATAAAGCCACGCGAGCTCTGATCATCCTCGCAGCAGCGGCTTGTGGCTCAGCCATCGAACAAAGACGGGTCACCGCATCGCGCGCTTTCAGATGCGCTTCCGCGGCCACTCTGGAACGTTCCTCCGATATTAGGAAGTCACTGGAGCTGTGCACTTTTAAATCTAGATTGAAAACTTATTTCTTTAGAACCGCTTTTTGTGTTTAGTTTGTTGTCCTTCCTCCGCACATCCGATTAGCACGGGTGGCTACGTATGGTACGAAAGAAGTTCAACATACATATGTACAAAGCCACGTTACGAGAGACCAATATCATACTGAGGGTGGGTTGGCCATCGGCATCGCTGAGATGCACTTTTGCGGTAAAGTCCATTGTTATAAGAAACAAATTATAATTCTGTGTGGTGAACCACAAGAGTTTCAACAAAATTAACCACAGCCAATGTTTGCAATACCAACAACATTCATAATAACAGCAAAAAGAAATAAAAACAGCGGAAAGGGAAATGCAGAAAAAAAATCCGAGGAGCACTCCTTTCTTCGTCTATGACTAACGGCGGCTTTAAAATTGAAGCCACAAAGCTTACAACCACCCACTCGGCCAACTCTCTCTTACCTAGAGCGGGAGGAATCGGGGGTTGACAATGGGACGGGCAACAGCGGTGACGACGGTAGATCGACGGACGGACGGTGGCGGCTGTGGCTGTGGAGGCCGCTGTGTGGGCTCCGGACTCGGGCACGAGGGGTTTTGAGGACACCCAATTACGTGCCCAACGTCACGGGGTGTGCCGTGGCCGTGGGATCTCCAACCTACGGCTCGCACGGACTTCGTTTTTTTTTAATCGCTGGGTAAATTCCACATCACGTGCACCGTTTCCCACCGTGGAGCGTTTTTTTTAAATTGAGTTTTTTTAGTAAGTCCAGAGCTTTTACACTGCCTCGGCAAGAAGGAGATATTGAGGTGCACGTCGTGCACACACGCATGGAGGGGCTCCTGTGAAGTGTGGAGTGTGTTCGCACGGCTTGCTAAGGGCGCGCACAACATGTGTGTTTGTGTTTTGAATGAAAATCAACGTAATTGTCATATTTCATAGGGTCACCATAATTGCTTTAACAATGCTTGTACTGAAGCACGCCTTTAAATTACGTCCGGATCAACAACACTGTAATGGGTGTAGTTGATCGGGTAATGTACTCTCAGTTTAATTACTTCATTATTCCTCACGCTCCTGCCCTCTTGCTGCGATGGCTCAGCTACGTTGCCTTTGTATTTTTTCCGAGTGTCGTGACATCACGAAAACACACAGAGCCACTTGTATATGAATAATAACGAGAGAAAAAGCAGGAAATTCGGTAAACAAATGCAATTGCCTTCTACTCGTAGAATTACAGTTGAAGGTTACGCTGAACACATGTATATATGTTGAACTTCTTTCGCACCGTACATAGCCAACCGTGCTAATCGAAGGTGCGAGGGAAGGACAAAGAACAGATGACGCGGTACACACACTTCGACACGCAACTGCCTTTATTAAACAGATTGTCAACACATACCTAAAATCCCGAAGTGCAAATAAAACCAGGATAACTTGTTGAAAATCCGACAATATTTTGTTCATCTTTAAGATACGTTCTGCTGCGCTAGTGTGCGGGCTTTGTGTGGGGAGAAAACAAATCTGTGCTTTCTGCTTCTTGGTGATACGTGGAGGCTTACAAAAGTCATCGCTCAGAAGCGACTCTTCAGGGTCACGGGGCGCACGGTGTGGCTGGACGACAACAACTACGCTGCCAAAATCGATTCCTTAAACTCGTGTAAAGACTCACGGGAAATGGGATAATGCGGCCACGCTGCGACACTGATGACGGATGAGTTGCGATCATTTTCCACAACAAATTCTTACCCGGCTGCGCTGCACTGCCACTTCAAGGTAATTTGTAATGGGGCTGCGCTGTATTTTACCTGGTTTCTCGTGTCCATGCAATGCACACTTTTGACCAAACAATCAGGTTCCTGCCGACTTTTAAAACCTTTTTACCGAATACCGATGTAAGGTTATTTGAAATCGGTAATACGGTTTAAAGGGTTTTGAAATTGGCACCCCGATCGCTTAAATTCGTAGGGTTGGTTGGCAAGTAAGGTCAATGTTTATGCAATCAGTCAGTGTCCATGGGTCAGCGTTCACGCGAGTAATGGATCAGCATTCATGTGATGGGTCAGTGTTCGTGCGATGCGTCAGTGTCTGTGTGATGGGTCAGTGTGTGTCTGATGGATCAGTATTCAAGGAATAATAGTTAATAATTAAAAGACCTTGCTTTCCTTGAGGGACTAGAATGCCGCGTCGCTTGATAGGAGTGGCCCTGTGTTGTGGCTGATGTTCTATTGCGTGGTGTTGTGGTGAAGCCACGTGGTGTGGCGAAATCTCTGCTGTCAAGCTTACTGATTTAAACGGTTCGGCTGCCGATTATTAAACCCATGTACTGCAAACCGTAAACCGCAAAAACTGTGGCTAATATGTTTATGAATGTTTATGTATATTTGTTCGGGCAAAATTTTCACAAAGCGGCACGATCCGCTTTGTGAAAATCGGGACGTGGTGAAAAGGGTAAAAAAAAATCGGCAGCCCCACCGCTGAAATTGGTGCATGGAGGTGTGGATGCGTGGAGGTGTGGGTGCGTGGAGGTGTGGGTGCGTGGAGGTCTGGGTGCGTGGAGGTCTGGGTGCGTGGAGGTCTGGGTGCGTGGAGGTGTGGGTGCGTGGAGGTCTGGGTGCGTGGAGGTGTGGGTGCATGGAGGTCTGGGTGCATGAAGGTGTAGGTGCGTGGAGGTGTGGGTGCGTGGAGGTCTGGGTGCGTGGAGGTGTGGGTGCGTAGAGGTGTGGGTGCGTGGAGGTGTGGGTGCATGGAGGTCTGGGTGCATGAAGGTGTAGGTGCGTGGAGGTGTGGGTGCGTGGAGGTCTGGGTGCGTGGAGGTCTGGGTGCGTGGAGGTGTGGGTGCATGGAGGTCTGGGTGCATGAAGGTGTAGGTGCATGGAGGTGTGGGTGCGTGGAGGTCTGGGTGCGTGGAGGTGTGGGTGCGTGGAGGTGTGGGTACGTGGAGGTCTGGGTGCGTGGAGGTGTGGGTGCGTGGAGGTCTGGGTGCGTGGAGGTGTGGGTGCGTGGAGGTCTGGGTGCGTGGAGGTCTGGGTGCGTGGAGGTCTGGGTGCGTGGAGGTCTGGGTGCGTGGAGGTCTGGGTGCGTGGAGGTGTGGGTGCGTGGAGGTCTGGGTGCGTGGAGGTCTGGGTGCGTGGAGGTCTGGGTGCGTGGAGGTCTGGGTGCGTGGAGGTGTGGGTGCGTGGAGGTGTGGGTGTCGCCACGAGACGCTGCTATACGTAGCCGATGAGGCGGGGAGTGCTGGGGAAGTTGCGGCGCATGCCCATGCACTTGTCGCGGTCGATGAAGAGCGAGTTGGCCTTGACCCCGAGGTCGTGCTCCAGCGCTGCGCGCGTGGAGGCGAGGACCTGCAGCGCCGACTCAGCCTCCGCCTTGCGTCGCTTGAGCGCGCCGATGGTGTCCTGCAGCTCATGCACCTCGCCCATCAGCCTGAGCAAAGCAGAGACAGCGGCCGCTCGCCGATCGCATTTCGCTACTCGACGCCGGCCACACCACAGCCGACGTGACAAGGCACTGTCAGGGAAAGGTGCCGCCCGACCCCGACGCCTGCTGTAATAATATACAGCAGGCGTCGGGGCCGGGATCGAACCCACGACCCTCCTGTATACCAGGCGAGGTAGTTAACATCTCGCCACCGTGGCGCCTAGAGGTTGTTGGTTTCTGGTCTCCGCAAGGAGGGTTGAGCGATTCTCTTAACTAGCAAGCCGAGCGGTTAGAAGCAACAGCACGCACGGGTGTGCTGCCTCACAAACAGCAGGGAGGCAGGGCTGCCACCGTGCCTCGTATGCGTATCACGTGACCCCCGGCACTGCATGCACCGTCCTCTTGGCTTTGTCTTATAAAACAAAACTACGCACGCACCCACCTGGATTCTCGTCGTCTGCACAAAGCGTTGCGATTTGAGACGTGAGCAAAAGCGCGGCGACGTAAACCACGCTCCGTGGGCATTAGGAGCAAACCTTCGAGGAAGATTTCACAACCAGGGTGGCCTCCATGCGGTGTGTTCAAGTCACAGAGGAGAGAAGGGTACCTTGACCTGTAGGGTCAGTGTGGCTCCCTGGTAGGGTCAGTGTGGCTCTCCTATAGGGTCAGTGTGGCTCTCCTGTAGGGTCAGTGTGGCTCCCTTGTAGGGTCAGTGTGGCTCCCTTGTAGGGTCAGTGTGGCTCTCCTGTAGGGTCAGTGTGGCTCCCTTGTAGGGTCAGTGTGGCTCTCTTGTAGCGTCAGTGTGGCTCCCTTGTAGGATCAGTGTGGCTCTCCTGTAGGGTCAGTGTGGCTCCCTTGTAGGGTCAGTGTGGCTCTCCTGTAGGGTCAGTATGGTTCCCTTGTAGGGTCAGTGTGGCTCACCTGTAGGGTCAATGTGGCTCTCTTATAGGGTCAGTGTGGCTCTCCTGTAGGGTCAGTGTGACTCTCTTGTAGGGTCAGTGTGGCTCTCCTGTAGGGTCAGTGTGGCTCTCCTATAGGGCCAGTGTGACTCTCTTGTAGGGTCAGTGTGGCTCTCTTGTAGGGTCAGTGTGGCTCTCCTGTAGGGTCAGTGGGGCTCCCTTGTAGGGTCAGTGTGGCTCCCTTGTAGGGTCAGTGTGGCTCGCTTGTAGGGTCAGTGTGGCTCTCCTGTAGGGTCAGTGTGGCTCTCTTGTAGGGTCAGTGTGGCTCTCCTATAGGGTCACTGTGGCTCCCTTGTAGGGTCAGCGTGGCTCCCTTGTAGGGTCAGTGTGGCTCTCCTGTAGGGTCAGTGTGACTCTCTTGTAGGGCCAGTGTGGCTCTCCTGTAGGGTCAGTGTGGCTCTCCTGTAGGGCCAGTGTGACTCTCCTATAGGGTCAGTGTGGCTCTCCTATAGGGTCAGTGTGACTCTCCTGTAGGGCCAGTGTGACTCTCCTGTAGGGCCAGTGTGACTCCCTTGTAGGGCCAGTGTGACTCTCCTGTAGGGCCAGTGTGACTCCCTTGTAGGGCCAGTGTGACTCTCCTGTAGGGCCAGTGTGACTCCCTTGTAGGGCCAGTGTGACTTTCCTATAGGGCCAGTGTGACTCCCTTGTAGGGCCAGTGTGACTCTCCTATAGGGCCAGTGTGACTCCCTTGTAGGGCCAGTGTGACTCTCCTGTAGGGCCAGTGTGACTCTCTTGTAGGGTCAGTGTGACTCTCTTGTAGGGACAGTGTGACTCTCTTGTAGGGCCAGTGTGACTCTCTTGTAGGGCCAGTGTGACTCCCTTGTAGGGCCAGTGTGACTCTTTTGTAGGGCCAGTGTGACTCCCTTGTAGGATCAGTGTGGCTCTCTTGTAGGGCCAGTGTGACTCCCTTGTAGGGCCAGTGTGGCTCCCTTGTAGGGCCAGTGTGACTCCCTTGTAGGGCCAGTGTGACTCTCCTGTAGGGCCAGTGTGACTCCCTTGTAGGGCCAGTGTGACTCTCCTGTAGGGCCAGTGTGACTCCCTTGTAGGGCCAGTGTGACTCTCCTGTAGGGCCAGTGTGACTCTCTTGTAGGGCCAGTGTGACTCCCTTGTAGGGCCAAAGTGGCTCTCCTGTAGGGCCAGTGTGACTCCCTTGTAGGGCCAGTGTGACTCCCTTGTAGGGCCAGTGTGACTCTTACTTGACTTGTGGGGTATCGCGACACAGCTCCACGTTGGGCCTTCGGATGCGCTCCTCCAGACGCGTCTGAGCCACCTTCAGGGGCGCCTGCTTCTCCTGGATGGCTCTCTTGATGTTCTCAATCAGCACCTCTGTCTGGAAGATCTCTTGCATGGTCTGTTGATGACAAACGCACAGATCTGTAGGTAAAGGAACGCCGCTCTGTATGGGTTTCGTCCGTATGTATTTGTTGAACTTCTTTCGCACCGTACTTAGCCAACCGTGCTAATCGGGGGTGCGGGGGGGGGGGGGGAAGGACAACAACCTAAACACAAAAAAGCAGTAATAAATAAATGAGTTTTCAATCTAGATTAATAAGTACTTAGCTCCAGTGACTTCCTAATGTTGGAAGGAAAAGCGCAGCTAGCTACGTACAGTGCGAACAAAGTTCAACATACATACAAATAATAATAATAACCTTGGATCGTTGTGATGAGTTTTCCCGCATGTTTCTCACAGAGAGGTTGTGAGCACAGAACACAAACTCGTGGAGCTGACCCCTATAACGCGAAACTTTAACCAACGGCTGTAGCTGCCGGTCCAACATCTGTGCGCATACTCCATCATCATCATCACGATACATGGGCTGATAGCCCGCAGGCGTTAACTGCGCATGTCGTCATTTGTTTCCACTTTCCTCTGTCTTGTGCCAATTTTCTCAAGTAGTGCCACATCTTTCTGACACCAATCTCTTATGATGTCGTCAAGCCATTCTCACCCGACGCAGCCAATAAGTAAGGGTTGTCACGTCAACAGAGCATGCCAATTCGTGATAAACCTTACTAATTGGCCGTGTCGGGTGGTGGCGGGTTTAACGACACATTTGTGGGCGAGGGCGGGGGGCGGGCGGGGGCAGCGGGGGGCTGTGCGCACCTTCGCCAGGTGTGTCTGCAGCTTGTTTTTGGTCTCGGCCGTCTCGGAGACACGGTTGGTGAAGGCCACGTTGACGGCGTTGAACTGCTGCCACATGTTGGTCGAGGCCACCTCCAGCGTGGCCTCCACGTCCTCGCGCAGCTTGGAGGAGGCCGCGCGCTCGCACTGCGACCGCACGATGTTGTCCTCCGTGAACTTGGCCCAGGACTCGGGCACGGAGATCCTTGGGAGAGGCAGGGGAGGGGGGCGCGGAGGAACGATAAATCCCCCGCTCCGCCGCCAGCGCCGCCGGCGTCTTCTACGGAAGCTCTCGCTGGCGCTCGCCGCTGCGGCCCGTGACAAGGTCACGGGCGGAAAGGTCACAGACGAGCACGGGGACACACTGGCAATTGTATGCATGTACGTGTATGTTGAACTTCTTTCGCACCGTGCGTAGCCGACCGTGCTAATCGGAGGTGCGGGGGAAGGAGCTGCAGCAGCCTAGAGGGGCTGTTGCAGTTTTGACAAAGGCACGCGGCAGCTCGGTTTAGCACGTGGACGCAGCCCGTTTGAACACTGACCTCAGGTTTGTTTTACTCCACCCCTTCGGCTACGGCTTCTCTCTGCTGAGTAACACCACCTGAAGATTAAGACATCTGTAAAGCCTCACCTCTTCTCCAATGCCCATTCGCTTCCTCTTCCCTGCCCTCGCCCCTCCACTCATTTCGGTCCCTCCCCTACCATGTCGTGATCCCAAAGTACCCCCCGATCACGGTCGCTCATCCCTCAATACCTTGCACGCCCCTGCCATCGAAGCCATTCCATTCTGTCACCGTTTGCTAAAAACAATTTCGAGCGCCTTGAGTGAAGGTGCTCTATAAATATAGTGTAAAGCTAGATTAAACCATTGTTAACGCTGAAAACTTCTGTACATGCTTTTTACTGTTAAAATTCCCATCAATTGCTTCATACGCCCGCTTCGGTGCTATTTTTATTCATTTGTTATTTCTGCTGTCTCTTCCTCATATTATCCCAATGGTATTGTCAGCGTCATGTCGTGTGATAACGAATGCATTCAGAGCTCTCACCCTGTGTTCGGAAATGGCCCACAGAAGTGAATATCCATGAACCGCTTCTGAAATAATCTTTTCAATCCCTCGCGCACACTCGGGTGCTGCGAGTTCCTACCCACCCAGCTACACAGAGTGATATCCATCACACGACAGTCAAACTGAATTCGCGGTCGCCACGGTGGTGAGAAGTTAACTAACTCGCCTGTATTACAGGAAGTCGTGGGTTCGATCCCGATCCTGACGCCTGTATGTTTGTAGTTTGGGTGTCTCTTTGCTCGTGGTCGTGTGGATTTTTATTCGGCTCCTGCGGTTTCCCCCCTCCACATTTAGAATCAACATCACACGTTTATAGTATTTGGCTGCTGCTGTAGATTTCCACATGATAAGCCACATGATAAGCCACATGATTAGCCACATGATAAGCCACATGATAAGCCACATGATAAGCCACATGATAAGCCACAATCATTTGTGGCCAGGGCGCTTCTGAAAAAGAGCGATATAGCTCATTAGGCCTTACCTGGTAAAATAAAAAAAAATGTTTAGTTTACTTGAGTTTATTCCTAGCAGCAGGAATTTAGCCGATGTTAAGCGCAAGAACCAGATTTGGCGTTGATTGTTCTAGTCTGTGGTCATTGCTGCACTGGTCTCATACCTACATCAACCGACGGCAACTCGAGATCCCAAATTAAACTTTGATGTTCGACTGAATTCCGAGGCAGGATTTCAGCGGTGCCAGCTCGGCACTCCGAGCTAACCCAGCCACCCCTGTAGCCTGGGATGTGCTGCGGCTGGGTTGAAGTGTTTGTCTTTCCCCATCCGTCTACCAAAGGAACAGGGTGGAGGCGAGGGGGGGAGGGGGCAAAGGGGGGGATTTGCCCCAGACCTCGCGCACCAAAGAGTGCCCACAGTGGGCCTGGTTTTGCTCATAGAACAAAGGGATCCGGCAGGGGCATTCTATCCTGGGCCTGCACGAACCGTTGCAACGTTCCGACCCGCCCCTACTGGACGTCTGTGAAAAAGAGCTTTACAGCTCATCGGATTCCTCCTGCAGCATGAATCTTCTGATTCTGAACCTCTGGGTGGCTTCTCTACCAAAGTAGGGGGTGCCGTAGCCCCCCACCCCTTATTCTGCGCCCCCCTCCCCCCACCTCCTCCTCCTCCCCCCATTGTGGCGCCGCCCGCGCTTACGCGGGGTCCAGTTGCTCCACGCCTCGGAAGAAGCTGATGCCCTCGGAGGAGTTTCCCAGGTGCTGGCACTTCTCGTCGATGCGCAGGGCGTTGTGCTTGTCGCTGGCGTCGCGCTCCAGCTCGTGGTACGCAGCCCTGCTCGCGCTGACGTCACAATGTGCGTGTGCGCGCGTTGTGTCTGTTGAACTTCCTTCGCACCATACGTAGCCCAACCGCGCTCGTCGGAGGTGCGAACACCCGGCGACGGGGGATGGAAATGCAGCAGAGGAGGCCACGGGGAGCGTTTTCACGCACCAGGGCCTGCTTTTCGCCGCTTTCAAAAGTCTGGGCGAAGCGAGCAACGAGGCACCGGAGCTCATCGCCTGTTCGTAGCCCTCAGCCAGTGGTGGACATTCCACATTCATATATATGTGTCGTGGGGCGAGTCGTCTATCAAAAGGACATCCGCTGTTGACTTCTCCACAAATTGGTGCCAATTAGATCGACCCTGTAGGGATGATGGGTTGAGTCAAACCCCCCCCCCAACCAAGATTTTTTTTTAACTCGCGACCTTCCATTTGCGAGCCGTTCACTCTACCGCTGAGCTACCCGGCCAGGTCTTACCGTGCTGGTCGCTTAGAAAACAAATCTGATGGAAATGCGGTGGTCAGGAGCCACAGACGTGAACACGAGTGATGCCATTAGACTCAGCACGCGCTGTCACGAGAGGAAGACTTACACGAGCTGAGCGTTGATTTTGTTCAGCTTATTTCTCAATTGCTCCTGGGACCTCCGCACCACGTCCACCTCCTGACATGCACACGCAGGGCAGGGATGTACGCTGATCACCACAGACGACGCTCTTCCAGCTTATGTACAAGAGAAGATTGCGTGAAAGCTGCAGTGTATGAAAGTCAGGGTTTAGTATGAAAGGAGTGAAACCTCAAAAACCCTTTCCCGTTCCGAGGCGTCTGCAAGTTGCAGGGTGGGGTCCCGTTCAATGCTGAATCTTGGAAAGCACAAGCGGCTCAGTGTTAATTTTGATTAGAGAGGCGTAGCGCCACTGTTTTTAAAGACATTGTACTCACCGCAGAGAACTGTCGCGACACGACCGCACTCTACGATAGCTGGTGGCAAACTCTGCTAGACGTCCTCCCGCACGACCTATTATTTATGATTCAGTTTTGATTACGTACGTGTACGTCATCGGAACGGAATGGGAAGAAAGACTGGTGGTGTACACGTTCGTCATTGGAACGGGAAAAGGCTTAAGGCTGAGGTGGGTAGCACTAATCTACGAGAGGGTAAATTTAGGTTGAGACTTATGAGTGAATGAGTAAGCTGTGGGTCTTGTGAGTTAATGGGACCAATTATTGAGTGAGTGAAGTATGGGACACATGAGTGAGTGATTGGGTGGGTGGGTGAGTGAGTGAGCAAGTGAGGTGTGGATCTCGTGAGTGAGCTAAGAAACCTATGGGCAGGGTGAGTGAGTAAGAAGTGCTTAAAATCGGCGTGCGAGTGAGTTTAGAATCAGAATCTTTATTTATACTGGCAGAATCCGATGAGTGAATGGAACCACTGGATGAGTGAGTGAGTGAGTGCAGTCGACGGTGGAGTTGTGGGGGGCACCTGCAGCAGCTGTTTCTCCACGTCATCGTGCACCAGGTCCATGCCCATGCGCTTCTCCCGGTGGTAGAGGCACTCCTTGCACACCTGTCGAGGAGAGAGCCACCCGTGAGCCCTACACGGCGATAGGTGCACACACAGCCGCGTATTTGTATACACAGAGGGTGCATACTGGTGCACGCGTGTGGACTGGTAACATGGTGGGTATGTGTGTGTGTGTTGGCGAGCGGTGGCGCAGTGGTTAGCGCACTATGGTACGAACCCGACGACCCGAGTTCGAATACCGCTCACGACCAACATTCAATGACCGAAAGTCTAATTGCATTTTTTTGTGAACTGCTTTTTGTGTTTAGTTTGTCGTCCTTACCCCGTACCTCCGATTATCACGACTGGCTACGTGCGGTGCGAAAGAAGTTCAACATACATACTCCCCCTAGGTCGACTCGGCGTTAAATGAGTACCTGGTGCGGTGTGTAAACATCAGCACCGGGGAGACAAATGTGGCCGGGCCTGGGTGCTGGCCACCCACCTTTCATTGTGCCTTGCCGGCTAACAGCACTTGCCTCAACAGCCTGTTAGAGGTTATACGGTGGATATTTGTCTTTGGTTTTGTGTGTGTGTGCATTGGCGGGCGAGTATTATTGTTGTGTGTGCTCGTTGTGTGCGATATGCTCAGCTCCCGACACCAAATGCCAAAGACGAAGATCCCCCGTGTAGCCTTAACTGACCGCTGGGGAAAGTGATGTTTGCGAGTAGCATCTACGAAGGCCTGCATGGCACGCGAGGGGGCGGGTGGCCAACACCACTCCCGGCCCCCTTTGTCTCCCTGGTGGCGATATTTACACACCGCACCAGGTACTCATTCGAGACTGAGTCGAGCTTGGGGGAAGCTCCAGGACCGGTTCAGATAATCGTCACTGGTGTTGGCCGTGAGCGGGAATCGAACTCGGGTGGCTGGGTTCGGAGGGCAGCGTAGCGCTGACCGCTACGCTACCGCTCCCCCACACAACACACAAACAGACAGAGAAACGCACGTCCACTCTGACTCGGGGCACGAACCCCGCAGCTGGGGACGCGAGACTAAACAGCGAGTCGGCTCAGCGGCAGCGTGTGAAGCGAGGCAGGTGGGGAGACGCGGGTTGGGAGTGTTTCTGGAGACACTCTCCTGTGTGTGTGTGGAGATGTCCCGGGCAGGGAATGAGGTGTGCACGATGTACAGGGTGGTTCAGATGTCTCGTCGCCCCCAATTAATTCACCCTTCACAATTGTTCTTCTCCCATTTAAGTAATCATTTATGTTATAAATAAGTGTGAGGGTGAACAGGTGCAGCCGTGTAGGTGTGTACAAGTGTGGCAGTGTAGGTGTGTACAGGTGTGGCAGTGTAGGTGTGTACAGGTGTGGCAGTGTAGGTGTGTACAGGTGTGGCAGTTAGAGGGTGAACAGGTGTAGCGTCTAGGTGTGTACAGGTGTGGCCGTGTAGGTGTGTACAGGTGTGGCCGTGTAGGTGTGTACAGGTGTGGCAGTGTAGGTGTGTACAGGTGTGGCAGTGTGGGGATGAACAGGTGTAGCGTCTAGATGTGTACAGGTGTGGCCGTGTAGGTGTGTACAGGTGTGGCCGTGTAGGTGTGTACAGGTGTGGCCGTGTAGGTGTGTACAGGTGTGGCCGTGTAGGTGTGTACAGGTGTGGCCGTGTAGGTGTGTACAGGTGTGGCCGTGTAGGTGTGTACAGGTGTGGCCGTGTAGGTGTGTACGGGTGTGGCAGTGTGGGGGCCACCAGTTGCAGTGGAAGGAGGAGTCTGTTTAGTTCGGGATGTTCTGACGCAAATTAGCTTGGAAGTGCAGCTCGGCGATGGAAGATGTCGGCACGTGAATCTCACTGTGACGGATAAACGGGGGCGTCCTAAATATCTCCATCATTCAATTTCAATCGATTCTCTCTCCCAATCGATTCGAAGTGCCCCCCCCCCTCCCTACCCCAACAAAATAAAACGCGCGAGAAAGTGACTTCCATTCGCCACTGGCACGCAGGTGTGCACAGGTATTGCTGTATGTAAGTTGAACTCCTTTCGCACCGTACGTAACCGACCGTTGCTGACATCCGGGCGCGTCGTACTGCGGGCGTGCGCAGGTGTCATGCGGTGTAAGTGGTTCTGTGATGCCCCAAGCAGCGGGCACGAGAGGTGAGCGGTGGTGGAGCGAGGGGGCAGGGAGGGTGGGGGGCGGGGTGCATTGCACCTCCCCCCCCCCCCGTGGCGCTATGTAGGCGGGGCGGCACCTGCATCGGCCCCTCGGTCTCGGCGAGCGCGCGCTCCACACGCTTCTTCATGTCGCCCAGCGCGTTCATCTCGGCGACGCTGCGCTGCATCTCGTGGCTCAGCTCGGCCCTCCAGAAGGAGATGTCGCCCACGCGCTCGCCCAGTCCGCGGCTGCTCTCGGCCTGCACGCGGCGCGTCGCCTGCTCCGCGTCGCGCAGCATGCGCGCCGTGTCGTGGCGCAGGCGCTCGGCGTTGTGCCGCGACACCTCGGAGCGCGAGTAGTGGCCCTGGTTGGCGCGCTGCCACTCGAGCGGCGTGAAGCGAGCCGACAGGACGAGTGCCGCGCGGCTCGCCGAGGGGGATCCCGCGGAGGCCAGGGGCGGCATGCGCGGGTGCTGCATCTGCAGGTGCTGATGCGACGGGGCGGTCATGACCCGCGCGCCGTTGCCCACGGAGGAGCTGGCGGGGCGCCAGTGCACGCAGGGGTTGTACCTGCGTGGAGGAAAAGAAATACATTCAAACAACGCGCGTTGTAAATTATATATGTATATAAATAAATATATTTTTTACCAGGTCAAGGCCCACTGAGCTATGAAGATTTTTTTCAGAAGCGACCTGGCCGCAAATGACAGCTCAACGAAAGTGGCTCATCACGTGGACATTTACAGCAGCAGCCAAATACTCTAAACGCGCGACGTTGATTCTAAATGTGGCGGGAAAAACCGGTGGAGCCGGAGAAAAATCCACGCGACCACGGGGAGAGAGACACCGCAAACTCCAAATATACAGCAGCAGCAGCAGCAGGCGTCAGCGTCGGGATCGAACCCACGACCTCGTGCGTACCAGGCGAGGTAGTTAACATCTCCTAGCCACCGTGACGTCCAGTGAGATGCGGCGGCCCTCTCCGTGGCTGGCACAGCGGCGAATTGCGTGCGTGGAATTTCGAACCTCTTTCACAGCGTACGTAGCCAACCGTGTTTATCGTATCGCCGTTCGCAAAAAGAGAGAATAACCTATGAGTTCGGTGGCAGGACGCGAAAAATAAGAAGACCCCGTGACGCAGAAACATTTTATTTTAAAATTAATTTTAAGGCCACGGTCAATCCACTGCTGGATGAATGCCTCCCCTCTCCACGCTGCGCAATACTGCGCCTGAGCACGTGCGCCAGCGCGAGTTGATGGACAGTGGAGGTGTTTCGGAGGTAATATAAATAATGAACTCGGCTCTTCTACATCGCAATTCGCACGAGACCTCAAAGCGCTCTACACTCTGGCGTATTAAGTTACGGCGAAAGCGCGCTGTTAAAGGGGGTGAGTGTTCGGACGAGAAAAAAAAAGTGATCATTCTCGTCTAAACTCATTATTCCCAAAGAACGGACTGTGTAGTGTTCTGTGTGGAGACAAACGGAGCCGTCTACAGCCAGGCTCTGCGATTGTTCAATTCCCTTCCCCCGTCCATTCGGGGGAAGGAAATCCCTTCCCCCGTCCATTCGGGAAAAGGGAATTCAACAATCGCAGAGCCTGGCTTACAGACGGCTCCGTTTGTCTCCCACAGAACACCACACAGTCCGGCCTTTAGGAATAATGAGTTTAGACGAGAATGAGCAGTGGAATATAATGAGCAGTGGAATATAAAATTTTAGCAGAGATCAATGAGATATTTATAAGCCAACTCATCCAAGGCCTTAAACGTAAGAAGAAGAATCTCGATTTAAAGCTTTCGTGATTGTAGGAATCCATTATCTTTGGTTCTTTCGGTAAAGTGACGTAGTTATAAAATTAAACGAATCACGACGTTTCGGGCGCAACACAAGCTTGGCCTGAATCTTAAAGTCGATTATCGCCACCGATGTTTGTCGACGCAGGGAATCGAACTCAGGTGACGGGGTTCATAGCGCAGTGCGCTAACCACTGCGCCACCGCTCCCCACCCGCCCCGTGGCACCAAATACCCAAATGGAAATGAGCCCTTGCACCCAAACTGTCTCAGATAAAGCCTCGACATCACTCTCCGACATTTCCCATTTCGTATCTTTTGAATACATCTCTCTCCTCCCAATTCTGAATATGTTTATATATTCTCCTATCATGAATATATTTATATAATATCTCATATGAATGATCTCCCTCTCCTGTCCCTTCTGAATGGATATTTTCCCTATCTCTTCTGAATACATCGGTTTAATTTCGTATTTGAAAATGTCCAACTATACACAAGTGTGTAGGGAAGTGTGAACGTGTATGCTTGTGTAGTAGCATACGTGTGTGCAGTAGTGTAGATGTGCAGTGTTGTAGTTGAGTGGACCAGCAGGTGTGCAGTGTTGTAGTTGAGTGGCCTAGCAGGTGTGCAGTGTTGTAGTTGAGTGGCCTAGCAGGTGTGCAGTGTTGTAGTTGAGTGGCCTAGCAGGTGTGCAGTGTTGTAGTTGTTTGGACGAGCAGGTGTGCAGTGTTGTAGTTGAGTGGCCGAGCAGGCGTGCAGTGTTGTAGTTGAGTGGGGGAGCAGGTGTGTAGTGTTGTAGTTGAGTGGCCGAGCAGGCGTGCAGTGTTGTAGTTGTTTGGACGAGCAGGCGTGCAGTGTTGTAGTTGAGTGGGGGAGCAGGCGTGCAGTGTTGTAGTTGAGTGGGGGAGCAGGTGTGTAGTGTTGTAGTTGAGTGGGGGAGCAGGTGTGCAGTGTTGTAGTTGTTTGGACGAGCAGGCGTGCAGTGTTGTAGTTGAGTGGGGGAGCAGGCGTGCAGTGTTGTAGTTGAGTGGGGGAGCAGGTGTGCAGTGTTGTAGTTGAGTGGGGGAGCAGGTGTGCAGTGTTGTAGTTGAGTGGCCGAGCAGGCGTGCAGTGTTGTAGTTGAGTGGGGGAGCAGGTGTGTAGTGTTGTAGTTGAGTGGGGGAGCAGGTGTGTAGTGTTGTAGTTGAGTGGGGGAGCAGGTGTGCAGTGTTGTAGTTGAGTGGGGGAGCAGGTGTGTAGTGCTGTAGTTGAGTGGGGGAGCAGGTGTGCAGTGTTGTAGTTGAGTGGGGGAGCAGGTGTGTAGTGTTGTAGTTGAGTGGGCTAGCAGGTGTGCAGTGTTGTAGTTGAGTGGACGAACAGGTGTGCAGTGTTGTAGTTGAGTGGACGAGCAAGTGTGCAGTGTTGTAGTTGAGTGGCCTAGCAGGCGTGCAGTGTTGTAGTTGAGTGGCCTAGCAGGTGTGCAGTGTTGTAGTTGAGTGGCCTAGCAGGCGTGCAGTGTTGTAGTTGAGTGGCCGAGCAGGCGTGCAGTGTTGTAGTTGAGTGGCCGAGCAGGTGTGCAGTGTTGTAGTTGAGTGGCCGAGCAGGTGTGCAGTACGGGTGTGTGCTGATGACCGACCCGGCTGGGTGCTTGTAGCTGGCCCGCATGGTGCTGATGGAAGGCAAGAAAGGGCCCATGGCTGCTCGAGACCGCACGTACGTGGCCGCGTTCGTTGCGCCAAGTAGCTCCATTGAACCTCAAATCTAATCCCCGGGGGGAGAGGCGAGAGAGGTGCGGAGGCGCTGACACTTCAACAACGTCCGCTGCCACAAACCCCAGGCGTACTTGCTCAATGCGGGAGGACTTCTTCACAATTCTGCATGCGCAAATCGACCGACGAGGCTGGTTGTTCGCAATGACCAGCGGAAACTTTACGGTACTCAAATTGTAAATCTTTTTCCGAAGCGACCTGGCCGCGAATGATAGCTCAGCGAAGTGGCTTATCGCGTTGAAATTTATAGTAGCAGCCAAATAATGCAACATTGTAAATGTTGTGGATTTGCTTTCCAACACACCGGTGTGCTGAAGTCGTAACTAATTGCCACGTTTTGCTTACGTGACAAACCTTACGAAATGCCTGTGTCGGGTGGTGGCGGGTTAACAACACGTTTTTAGTTACGCGATCTCACCCGAAAAACCCATTTATTGTGGAAAATACTAAATTGGTGTTCTCTGTCAGACCGGAGAATACAGAGGCATTCTCTGGTCTGACACGTATGAGATTAGGCCATGGTGTAGGCCAATCAGTTTCAAAGACAACGTATATATATTATCAGAGCATGTTTGTTTGCATGTTCACCACGAGTACGTGTGGTTAATGCGAACTTGATTTCTTGCAAAAGATTTCTATTTGGTGTTTGAACATCTTAACACCTCCTATTTTATTGCCAGAAAGGGTCAAACCTTTTCTGATTGATCACATTGTGATACTGTATCGGCAGTGGTGCACAAGCATACATAACATACGCTTACAACTTTCATCAGTACCATTGCTCTTAAATGAATTATATACTTAACAGGAGACGTTTGAGGCCAATGGCCCTTCTTTATGGCAGAGGCATACGAAGAATGGCCAATGTTGCACGACATGTTGTAACGGTAACGAAGTGTAGAGGGCCCAAAGGGGGTCCCCTAGGGGCTTTAAGTCTGACGACGAAGCCACTTACTTCGTAACAGTCCGAGCTCCCGCGACTTTGTCCAGACAGACACGAGAAGCGCCACTCCGAAGCCACCCCGATCACGCGAGACCCGCGCACTTTTGTGCTGAAGCTGAGCGCGGTTTGTGGATGGCAGAGTCACTGTTGCTATGAGCGCCCCGTGCCGTGTGGATGACTTCTTGTGGGAAGGTGGGTGGGGTGGGGGGGGTGCAGTGCGATTTCTGCTGCACGTCACGAGTTCTGCATTCACAGGCGCTCTTGGCTGGTGGGGTGTGTAATGATATGCGGTAAAGAAAGGAGGCCCCCTCCTCCATTCATTCATTGCATCATCAACTCGCCGTGGGCGGCGGGGGCTCTGATGGCGCTTTGTGCGACGACGTTCCTCCCACCCTCCCCACCTGGGGTGGCGACAATGGAGCGGTCCTCAAATATCCGGACGTCGTGTGGACGTGTGAGTGAATGGCCGTGTTGGTTCACGCGCACGCGTGCGTGCGTGCCGGGGTTCCTGCGGTGTGCCGTGCCAGTCACAACACAACTAAAACGCGTTAATTATTCACGCGAATTAAATGACTCATATAAATAAAACACGCGCGTTTATTGTACATTTATTGTGACGGCATTATATTAAGGGTTTTTTTCCCCATTCTGGATATCCACAGCAAACGTCACCTTTAATATGCCATAGCGCACAACGATGATCATTAAGTCATACCAATGGCGCTTTCTGGGATTCAAATTTAGAATGCAGGAGAAATTAACTTACGCAAATCAATATCGCCCTCTTTCTATTTCCACAGGTTCAGTAAATCACTGGCTTCCGAAACAGAATCATTGTTTCTCTGCACGTTCTGACGATACATTTCTGTAATTGGACCAAATCTATCACGCGTAGCATGTTTCGGCTTAAAGAAAATCCACAGTGTCATACATTAATTCAGTTGACATCGTATATTGTTCGAAAGACATACGTATGCATCCGTTCTTTCCATTTTCGAAAGAACGTGCGTTCTAATATAATGCCACGACTTATAGGAAAACTGCATACACACTATTAATCAGAAACCCAAGTACCTGACCTCACATCCAACAGCCATGGTGCAACTCTGTAAAGACATTGTACAAATCCTGGAAGTCAGTGACTGATTTCACAATTGTAAGTGTGCTCTTTATCAACACTGAATACGAGCTGCACGTGAGACTTTTCTTGCCCCAGATAATCTACTACTATTTATTTAACTAATTTATTATCGAGCCAGGTAAGGCCCACCGAGTTCTGTAGATCGAGAGACTGCTGCTATCCTAGAGACCATGGTATAAGTGACCCCACTGCGAGAGAGAGAGGGACAGAGAGAGACACTGCTGTCCCAGAGACCATGGTATAAGTGACCCCACTGAGAGAGAGAGAGAGACAGAGAGAGTCAGGGCTGTCCCAGAGACCATGGTATAAGTGACCCCACTGAGAGAGAGGGACAGAGAGAGTCAGGGCTGTCCTAGAGACCATGGTATAAGTGACCCCACTGAGAGAGAGAGGGACAGAGAGAGTCAGGGCTGTCCCAGAGCCCATGGTATAAGTGACCCCACTGAGAGAGACAGAGAGAGTCAGGGCTACCCCGGAGACGATCTGATAAGTGAAGCCACTGACAGAGAGAGAGAGCAGGAGAGTGACAGAGAGAGTCCGGGCCACCCCACAAGTGGTTGGTCTTTGTGCGCGGCACAAGGCCGCTCCTCAGCCTGTTGAGCTGGCTCCCACACAGTGCCGAGGCGCATCCCCTCAGATCACCGGGTGGAGGTCTCTCTCACAGGGTAACGCTCGACCACAAGGCCGTAGATCGAGGAGGAGGAGGTTCCATGAGGAAGGTGAACCATGCGACACGGGCTCTGCTCCCGGCTGCGCGTGTTTAATCGCCTCTTGTTTGCGGGGCTAGATCTGGTAAATATAAATGTGTCGTTAAATCCGCGACCACCCCGACACAGCCAATTAGTAAGGTTCGTCACGTTAACAAAACGTGACAATTAGTTACTACATCAGCGCACCGGTGTGTTGGAGAGTAAACCCACAACATTTGCAATTTAAGAACGACGTTTCGCTAACCCCCCCCAACCCCCCTCCCTCTTTACTATGGATAATATTGGTCGCGAAAGCCTCCGTGTGAAACTTCATCGCCTCTATGTGAGCGGGGGCCTTGGGAGGCGGCGGACACGAGCGGACTCTCACGACGGGTCCGGTCGTGTCCGCCGATGGTCTCTGGGACAGCAGTGTCTCTCTCTGCCGTCTCGCGATGAGAACGTCGGCGCTCGAGGTCGACGCTAAGGGGCCCCCTGCACGCTTCACGGGTTTCGCGTTGAGAGGTCGTGCGCGGGACGGAGAGCGGAAGGAGATATTTCAAATTTAGCGCCTTCAAAAATGTAATCTCGCTGCCCTCAAAAGACCTCGGCAACCCGTACGCATTCTGTGCGGCGTACGCATTATGCTCGTCGTTTGTGGCCAGCCAATGTTGTTACCACTCTGTGTGTGTGTGTGGGAGCGGTAGTGTAGCGGTTAGCGCGTCGCTACGAACCCGGCGACCAGAGTTCGATTGCCGCTCACGGCCAACACCAGTGACGATTATCTGAACCAGTCCTGGGCCACCCCCTAGGTCGACTCAGCCTCAAATGAGTACCTGGTGCGGTGTGTAGTAAACATCGCCACTGCGGAGACAAAGGCGGCCGGGCGTGGTGCTGGCCACCCACCCCCTCGTGTGCCACTGCGCCGGCCTTAATAGGTGCTCGCTAACAGCACTTGCCCCAAGAGTCTGTGACAGGGCTACACGGGGGGGGGGGGGATATTTGTCTTTGTGTCTGTGTGTGTAATCGAGATAGAGGGAATGGAACACTGCGCCTTGGTAACGAAGCAAAGTGGAGCAAGGGGGGAGGGGAGTGGCGATGATGGAGGTGGGGAAAATGGAGAGCGCGCGCGCCGTGTGGCCTCGCTGGATTTTGTTAACGCGAAACTCTGAGAGCAACCCAAGTCAAGCCCCCCCCCCCCTCCACCACCACCCGTGCCGTGCTCATTTATTGATACGAATTCGCATGCGTTATTCATCGTTCTAGGAATGGAGTGTGTAATTTGAGTGGCAGCGAGAGGGTGAATGAAACTGGAACGTGGCTTCACATTCGTTGACGATGTCACGCGAGGTTTCCTTGCTTTGGGAGAAGAACGTGGGATGTTGATGTTGGGTTGAAATCAAAGGGACGCTCTTGATCCAAATGAGACATTGAGGCGATGCTCATCTCTTGCTAACAGTCCTAAGTCGGTGATAACAATTCCACATTCCTATGGTAGGAGCCAATCTTCTTGGGAAATCTTTCGGGAAATTTAAAGGTCCCGGATTTTTGTTCTCAGTTGGGTAATAATAGACTGGTCAAGACCACGCATTCACATGCAGTTCTCCCCTCTTGCGGTATTGAGCGGTATTCGACTTCCTCCCATCCCCGTTGGTTCCACGGGGATGGGGGAGGGATGCCGTGCAGTGCTTGCAATAGCCGGTGACTTCGAAAGAGCGGGAATGAGTTTTGGAAACCTTTCTCTGCGGTTAGTTTGTAAAATAGAAACGTGCGTTTTGATTTGCTTTTCATAATATAGTATTTTTTTTGGGTTAGACCGCGTACATATAAATGTGTCGTTAAACCCGCCACCACCCGACGCAGACAATACTGTATGTAAGGTTTGTCACGTAAACAGAACGTGGCCAATTCGTCACGAGTACAGCACACCGGTGTGTTGGAGAGCAAATCCACAACATTTACAATTTAGTATTATTTGGCTGCTAGTATAAATTTCCACGCGACAAGCCACTTCGCTGAGCTATCATTCGTGGCCAGGTCGCTTCAGAAAAAGAAGCGAATAGCTCAGTGCGCCCTGACCTGGTAAAATAAAAAGGTTTAGTTTTATTTGTTGTATTTCTTCAGTAATTTTCTGACCTTTCCTATACTTTCCACTCCTATCGTGGTTTTTTTGTGTGCATTTGTTTGTTGTTGTAACGTTCTGACCCGCCCCAAAAGTGGACATCTCTGACAAAATATCTTCATAGCTCATCGGATTCCTCCAGTATCAATATATAAATATTCCGATTCTAATTAAATGTTAGAGCGGCAGCGAAGGCCGCGTGGAGCTCTGTCCAATGGGGGCCTTCCCCAGCGGCGCTGGCGGTCAGAATCAGAACATGTAATTGCACCTGAGGAATCCGATGAGCTATAAAGCTCTTTTTTTCGCAGACGTCCAGTCGGGTGGCGTTGCGCGGCGGTGCGTCTCTTCACACGGCTTGCGTCTTCCGCTGGTTGTATTCTTTGCGAGCCTCCCCACTTCGCCGCACGCGCGGTCTTCGGTTACGAAAGCGGGGGTCTCGTCTCGCGTGTGAGCGGTCACGAGAGCCGTCGGACCGCTCCAGAAAGATACACGCGCGTCGCGACACTCTCTAAACAGTCGAGTCGGCGACTCGACCGACAGAGGTGCCCCACGTGTCACATTCTTCGTCGGCTCCCGCTACGCCCGCGAGCTTGACCGCTCGGAGAGGTTGTATCAACTGCGCACTCGGTCAGCACGGTTGGCAACGTACGGCGAACAAGAAGTTCAACGTGCATACATCCGTACAAAAGCGTGGTGTTTCGTTGACCGTGCTCCTTTCTCCCACCCTCCCCCTTCCTCCACCCTCCCGTGTGCGCCTGGCCGAGTGTAGAGAGGCCGCTTGTTCTTGAAGCGAGTCGGGGGCGGGGGGGGGGGCAGGTTGCTAGGACGCACGAGGAGACCCCCTGCAGAGCTCATAGTTCTCGCGACCGAATCTTTACCTCTCCCTGGCACTGACAGAACGGAGCGCCGCGTGAAGCCGCTGCTTCTAAACGAAACTATATATATTTTATTTTACTAGGTAGTGCCCCACTGAGCTACTATGTCACGCTTTTTGAAGAAGCGACCCTTGGCTATCACGAATGACAGCTCAACGAAGTGGCTTATCGTCACGCGGAAATTTATAGCAGCAGCCAAAATACTCTAAATGCGTGATGTTGAAGTCTTAATGTGGAGGGGAAAACCGGAGGACCCAAAGGAAAAAAATCCACGCGACCACGGGAAGAGAGACACCGCTAATTCCAATCTAGAGCAGGCTTCGGGGTCGGGATCGAACGCACGACCTCCTGTATGCCAATCGAGGTAGTTAACACCTCGCCACAACCACCAGCAGTAGCAGCTGGTGGTGGTGGTCGTGACACTACG